TTGTTACGGAGTGCATATTACGGCTGTGGGTAACAAATATGACAAATCGGATGAACAGTATATATGGGAGCTATAGCTTTATCTGAACCGATCTTCACCAAATTTGACATACTAACTTCTAGACTCAATTCGGTCATAAGTTCCAAATATCATACAATTTGGGCAAATATTAGACGTTTGGTGCACAATCAAAGGTAAATCGGACGAAGTTATATATGGGAGCTATATCCAAATCGGAACCGATCTCGATAAAATTTGGTAAAGATATTTCTGAGCTGTATTTGATATATTTCCCTGAATATCGTTGTTACGGAGTGCATATTACGGCTGTGGGTAACAAATATGACAAATCGGATGAACAGTATATATGGGAGCTATAGCTATATCTGAACTGATCTTCACCAAACTTGACATACTAACTTCTAGACTCAATCCGGTCGTAAGTTCCAAATTTCATCCAATTTGGGCCAATATTAGACGTTTGGTGCACAATCAAAGGTAAATCGGACGAAGTTATATATGGGAGCTATGGGAGCTATAGCTATATCTGAACCGATCTTCACCAAATTTGACATACTAACTTCTAGACTCAATCCGGTCGTAAGTTCCAAATTTCATCCAATTTGGACCAATATTAGACGTTTGGTGTACAATCAAAGGTAAATCGGACGAAATTATATATGGGAGCTATATCCAAATCTGAACCGATATATTTGATATATTTCCCCAAATATTGTTGTTACAGGGTGCATATTACGGCGGCGGTGGACAAAAATAACAAATCGGATGAACAATATATATGGGAGCTATAGCTATATCTGAACCGATTTCGATCAAATTTGGCATACTTATTTTCAGGCTTAGTTTGGTTGTATGTGCAAAATTCCATACTATTCGGGCTGATATTACACGTTTGGTGCACAATAAAAGGCAAATCGGACGAAGATATATATGGTAGCTATATCCAAATTTTGACCGATTATCTCCAATTTCAATAGGATTCGTCCTTGGATCAAACAAATGATTTGTGCCAAATTTCATCTGGATAGGGCAATAAATGCGATCTGTACTTTGTTTACAAAAATACATGGACAGACGAACGGACAGACGGACGGACGGACATGCATAAATCGACTCAGAATGTGATTCTATGCAGATCATCAAAAGGAACTATGGGTCTATCTTGTTTCCTTTTGCGTGTTACAAACAAATGCACATAGACATAATACCCTGACCACCTTGTGGTGTAGGGTATAAGACAAGCTAAAAAGTCACCATTTAGAACAAATTTGGAAATTTTCAAAAAAATAAAATCCGTTAAAAAATTTTCTTAAGATCTTAAAAATACCGAATATAGCCGTTATATTTGAGTCTCTGCAACGTGGACCCACATAGGCATTGTTTGTTATAAGCCATTACCATATTCAAATTCGAAACTTGAAATAAACGGTGAATAATGTAACTAAAATCATCAAAATACCGTATATAGGGAGGTCCCATTATATCGGAGCTATACGAAGACCTGAACCTGCATCGGCAATTTTCTGTCACAGGCTGTAGCATCCATTACGAACGTAAAATACAACGTCTCATACAATTTCGGTGAGTATTGTACCTAAACTCGTCAAAATACTGAATATAGGGAAGTACTGATATATGGGGCCCCAACGAAGACCAGGACCTGCATAGACAATTTTCTGTCACAGAATGTAGTTCCCATTACGAACTCTAAATACGTAATTTCAAACAATTCCGGTAAATAATGAAGCTAAAATCATCAATATACCGAATATTGGGAGGTACCGTTATATGGGGGCTATACGAAGACCTGCACAGACAATTTTCTGTCTTAGGCTGTAGTTTCCATTACGAACTTCAAATACCAAATTTGAAACAATTCCGGTGAATAGCGTCGCTAAAAGCATCAATGCACCGTATATTGGGAGGTACCGTTATATGGGGGCTATACGAAGACGTACATACAATTTTCTGTCTTAGGCTGTAGTATCCATTACGAACGTAAAATACAACGTCTCATACAATTTCGGTGAATATTGTACCTAAACTCGTCAAAATACCGAATATTGGGAGGTACCGTTATATGGGGGCTATTCGAAGACGTGAGCCGCACAGACAATTTTCTGTCTTAGGCTGTAGTATCTATTACGAACTTCAAATACCAATTTTGAAACAATTCCGGTGAATAATGTCGCTAAAATCATCAAAATACCGAATATCGGGAGGTGACGTTATTATGTGTGCAAAATTTTAGCCTTCTATTTCAAATCGTTTAAAAGATAGCGTGATTACAACAGACAGACAGACAGACGGACATCGCTAAATCGACTTAGAATTTTACGCTGATCAAGGATATATATACTTTGTTGAGTCTGACATGAGTATTTCGAGGAGTTACAAACGGAATGACAAAGTTAATATACCCTTCATAGAATGGTGGAGGGTATAAAAATGATGTAAAACCAGTAAAGAAAGTCCTAAAGTCGGGCGGGGCCGATTTTATGATACCCTACACCACTTTGCTAATTTAGTTGAGCTCCACTTAATAATTAAGAGTATTTATGGGAGAATTCAATCATACACGCTATGATTATAATTATAATTTAAAATTCAAAGGACTAAATATGCCGAAGCATTTGTATCTTTTAAATTCGGACTTGTATTGCCCATTTGGTTGCGAAATTAATTTGAAATCGGATAAAAATATATATGGGAACTATATCCAAATCTGAACCGATCTCGATAAAATTTGGCAAAGATATTTCTGAGCTGTATTTGATATATATCCCTGAATATCGTTGTTACGGAGTGCATTACGTTATTACGGCTGTGGGTAACAAATACAATAAATCGTATGAACAACATATTTGGGAGCTATAGCTATATCTGAACCGATCTTCACCAAATTTGGCATACTACCTTCTAGACTAAATTCGTTCGTATGTGCCAAATTCCATCCCATTTGGACAAATATTAGACGTTTGGTGCACAATAAATGGTAAATCGGACGAAGTTATATATGGGAGCTATATCCAAATCTGAACCGATCTCGATAAAATTTAGCAAAGGTATTTCAGAGCTGCATTTGATATATTTCCCCAAATATTGTTGTTACAGAGTGCATATTACGGCTGCGGAGGACAAAAATAACAAATCGGATGAACAATATATATGGGAGCTATAGCTATATCTGAACCGATTTCGATCAAATATGGCATACTTATTTTCAGGCCTAATTTGGTTGTATGTGCAAAATTCCATACTATTCGGGCTGATATTGCACGTTTGGTGCACAATAAAAGGCAAATCGGACGAAGATATATATGGGAGTTATATCTAAATTTTGACCGATTATCTCCAATTTCAATAGGGTTCGTCCTTGGACCAAACAAATGTTGGTTGGAAAATTTCATCTCAATCGGATAATAAATGCGACCTGCATTTTGTTCACAAGAATACATGGACAGACGGACGGACGGACGGACAGACGGACTGACATGCATAAATCAACTCAGAAAGTGATTCTATGCAGATCATCAAAAGGAACTATGGGTCTATCTCGTTTCCTTTTGCCTGTTACAAACAAATGCACAAAGACATAATACCCTGACCACCTTGTGGTGTAGGGTATAAAAACATGCCATCGGCCCCATAGTGTGTTGTATGAAGTTTTCATCAAAAATTCGTGTACAACCGGACAAATTGTGCATTTTGAGTACTTAAAAGTTCTAACCCGAACGAATCTAAAATTTCGAATCTGAATGTTATCTGATGTAGTAGCGGGCACTTGCTTAAAAAATATAAAATTTTTGAATAGTCGTTTATTTTCAAAATTCTAAAAAAAAGAGAATTTTATAACATTTCTGGATTTTTTGTTCAAAACTTTTTTTTTATTTTTGTGAGTGTACGTGGACTTGGAAACATAAATCTCCTATGACAATTATGCTCAATTAATGCGAATTTTGTAGTTTCATTTTTTTTCTGCTTTTTTAATCCAAACTTGGTGGTCACGCCAATCAGAACGAAATTTTGATTCCAAACATTTCCAACCACATTTGCCAGCACAAGTGATGAGTGGGGTATGTTTAATTAATTGTATCACTTTTTGGTGATAATAAATTTTGAAATTCCCATTATAAATCACCATTTGACATTGATTTGCAAACGGGCAACCAGTTCAGAGAGCAAATTCTGAAGTGTTTTTTGTATCTATTTTCGGTGGTAAATTACAAAAAAAAGCAGCACATCACTTGTGTTGTTGCTGGGTGTCTCGTGCTCAAAGATGGGTTTTAATGTTTGATAACAAGTTCAAAACAATTGCCCGGAGGTGTTAGACAAGAGGTACCCTAATATTTTCCAAAGAAAAAAAAATCACAACGTCTTTGGAGGCGATGGCAAGACAAAAGATAACAAAAACAAAGATGTCAAAACCGGCTAAAACGTCGTTTCGGTCAAAACCAAAATGGAAAACAAACAATACCCGCAAATCAATGATAGACCCGAAAAGTCGTTTTTTGTTTTTCGGCTTTTGAGAGTGTTGTTGTTGTTGTCCATTAAACAAAATGAAACAAGCTCATAAAATTAATTTGCTTGTTCGAACATCTCTAGCCAAGAGCAGCATAACAGCCGAACAGCTCGCCAGCGAAGAGCTTAAAGCCCCAAAATATGCTAATTAGCGGAAATATTATGACGATACTTAAGAAAAACAAGAAACATTTTATCGAAAACGCTGGACGACGAAACATCGGCAGATTCCAAGAAACGGCGCGGTGCGTAATTTTAAACGAAATAAAATCGAAAAGAACTAAGCTAATCTAGCTTCCGCAGCTATAAAGGGATTACTTTTATAACTTTATCAAGATCAGTGGATTAAAATATTGTTAACGGAAAATCAAGATTGGATTAAGGGATTACCACATATTTTGGAAAAAAGAAAAATAAAACAGGGGATTCCCCAACACACACACACACACACACCCAAAATGTCAACAAAAGAAAGAGTGAGTTGTAAGAAGGCAGAGGATCCCCAACGCCATCTAACTTCCATTTTCAATTGGATTTTATTTTTTAGCTCAACTTATTGGCTGTGCTGTTCCTGCTGAGCACATCTGTGGTGTACGCCCTCGATGAAGATGAACACAATGCCAAGATTACAGATTTTCGCATAGCTCCTGCCGACGAGCAGGGTGTCTTCAAATACGCCTATGCCACCAGTAATGGTATTGCCGTCCAGGCAGCTGGCAGTCCTTTGGAAGCAATTGGTATCTACAGTTACACCTCACCTGAAGGTGTGCCCATTGAAGTCCGCTACATTGCCGATGAATTGGGTTTCCATGTCGTTGGGCGCCATTTACCTCGGCCACCACCAATTCCCGACTATATTCTTCGCTCTATTGAATACATCAAAGCCCATTCGACCCCAGCGCCACCTGTGGAATAAAAAACCAACTATAATTTGGATATATATTTTGTGTGCTTTAGTGCCTAGTGTTTAAGTAGAAAATATTGTTAAAATTGTTTTGTTTTAGTGAAGAATGAAGAAAGAAAAAAATATTGACTTTATTTGTTAAGTGAACAGTATTTAAAGAACAAGAACAAAAAAATATGAAAAATAAATTATTTATAGATAAAACAAAAGAAAAATAAAAAAAATTAAACAATAATTTGTTGGAAAAGAGTTTTAAATAAACAAGTAAAAAAATAGGATAAGTTCGGCCAGGCCGAACTTTTAATACCGCTCACCATATGGAGGGAACTTGAAAAATTTCCAAAAATTAAGAAAAATACCGTTATACTCTTACGAAGATGTGAACCTGCATGAGTAATTTTTTGCCATATGCTGTAGCACCCATTAAGATTTTCAAATACGAAATTTGAAATAATTCCGGCGAATAATGTCGCTAAAATCATCAAAATACCGAATAAAGGGAGACATATTTACATGAGAGCTATACGATGACATGTACCTGCATACGAAATTTTTAGGCATAGGCTGTAGTACCCATTACATAGTTCAAATACGAAATTTGAAAAAATCCAGTGAATAATGTAGCTAAAATCATTAAAATACAGAATAGAGGGAGTTACCGTTACATGGGGGCTATACGTATATATACCTGAACCTGCATAGAGAATTTTCTGTCATAGACTGTAGTTTCCCTTACGAACTCTCAATACGAAATTTGAAACAACTGCGGTGAATAATGTCGGTAAAATTATCAAAATACCGAATATTGAAAGATATATGGAGACGTAAGCCTGCATACGCAATTTCTTGTCATAGGCTGCAGTACCCTGTACAAATTCTAAAGACCCAAAAATCGTGAAAATGTCGAATATCGGGGGGTACCGTTGTGTGTGGGTTATACGATATCGCGGATAATTCTCTTCCAAGAGATAAAGTACTCACAAGGAACTCCTTGTGTGGATTTTCAGACACTTCCATTGAAAAATGTGGATAAAATCATAAAAGTGCCAAATATCGGAAGGTATCGTTATATGGGGGATATACGATATCGTGGTTCTATATTGACAATTCTCTTCCAGGGGGTAAAGTATTCAGAGTTAACTCCTTTTGTGGATTTTCAGAAAATGTTGCTAAAATCATCAAAATACCGAATATCGGAAGATGCCGTTATATGGGGAATATACGATATCGAGGACCTATATAGACAATACTCTTCCAGGGGGTGAAGTACTCAGAAGGAACTGCTTTATGAATTTACAGACAATTTCATTGAAAAAACAAGTAAGCAAAGGCTACAGTCGAGCGGGGCCGACCGTTGAATACCCTACAACACTATAATAAACCATACAGTTAATATAGGCGAGATACTCGAAAGAACTCCACAAGATATTGTGACAAATAATAAAAGAAAACCATCATGTTTCGTTCTCTAATTTTCGGATAATAGCAACTTAAACGAATTTCCAATTTATTGGTAGATGTCGCTGGAATGGACATTTTCGTATTTAGTCTACACACTGAATATTTTTGGATGGCCATCCGAAACTGCTTGGCTTTTGCAATGTGCGGTAACCCCCATTCAAATGGGCGTGAGGATCGGGAGATGCTGACAATTTTACAGTTTTTTGGTCCATTTCAACCCCTCAATCAGTTCAGCCGTTCTCGACATAAAAGAGATCTTTCAAGCATATCTTCTTTGATAGACAGATATATCGCACATATTTTGCTATATAACCGATTTGTTGGATGCTAACATCAATGTAAAGGTCAGAAGTAACCTTGTCATGACTTTGTGATTTCGCCGGTATTTAAAAAATTCACGTTTTAATGAAAAATTTTGAATTTTTTCAACACAAAAGACATGGTCTTTTTTACCCGCTAAATATTATCCGATGACCACCCAAATTGGTAGGCTTCTTCCCCGCCCTAAACTCTACCTACATGCGAAATTCCGCGTCGATTGGTCTATAATTGCGACCTGTATAGCTACTGCAAAATCCGACATTTTTTCAGTATTTGGTCCATTTCAACCCCTAAACATTTGGCGATCATCTCCAAAAGAAATAGGCTTCTATTCTGACCCTAACCCCACCTTCGTGCAAAATTTCGTAAGGATCGGGCCATAATTGCGACCTGTAGCGTGATTACAAATTAACATGGACAGACGGACGGACGGACATACATAGCTAGATCGACTCAGCTCGGCGAGCTAGGAAGATCCATATACACTTTCCTATATGGGAAACCAATATTTCGAGGTGTTACATAAATTCTGGCCCAATCAAACTTATAATACCCCCAACACATAGTGTTGTAGGGTATAATATCTACAATCATCAAAATACCGAATATCGGTGGGGTACCGCTATATGGGGAATATACGATATAGTGGATAATTCCGTTGAAAAATGTGTCTAAAATCATCGAAATTCCGAATATCGGGAGGTACCGTTATAAAGGGGATATACGATATCGTGGACTTATATAGAAAATTCTCTTCTAGGGGATAAAGTACTCACAAGAAACTTGTTGTGTGGATTTTCAGACAATTCCATTGAAAAATGTGGCTAAAATCATCAAAATACCGAATATGGGGGTACCGTTATATGGGGGATATACGATATCGTGGACCTATATAGACAACTCTCTTTAAGCGGGAAACTAGCTCCTTGTGTAGAATTTCAGACAATTACACTGAAAAATGTAGAAAAATGATACCGATGTAGCCCATCTTCGAACTTGACCGAAATAAGCATCCGGTTCTCTTCACATTTCACACATCTTATTATTTCTACTAACACAAGATCTGCTGTGAAGATGGGATACATCTGTGCACTCCTTCTGGTACCTCCCCTACAAAGGATCAAAATTTTGAATATCTATGAAGCTCATAAAACGCGAAATTGACATCCGATTCCATTCAATATTTCCATCAATACAAGATCTGTTATAGATCGGACCATGGTACCCCCGCCACTAGGGGTCAAAGTTTTGAATAACCAAAACGAATTAAAGCATTCGGTGCTCTTCATATTTCACACATCCCATTATTTCTACTAACGCAAGATCTGCTGTGAATATGGTAGAGATCGAACCATTCATTCTGGTACCTCCCCCACCATAGGGTAAAAATTTTGAATATCCATGAAGCTCATAAAACGCGAAAATAACATCTGATTCCATTCGGACTTGGCTCATCTGAATATTTCTTTCAACACAAGATCTGTTAAAAAGGTGGTAAAGATCGGGCCATTTCTTCTGGTATCTCCGCTACTAAGGGTCAACGTTTTGAATAACCAAAACGAATTTAAGCATTCGGTGCTCTTCATATTTCACACATCCCATTATTTCAACTAACGCAAGATCTGCTGTGAATATGGTAGAGATCGAACCATTCATTCTGGTACCTCCCCCACCATAGGGTAAAAATTTTGAATATCCATGAAGCTCATAAAACGCGAAAATAACATCTGATTCCATTCGGACTTGGCTCATCTGAATATTTCTTTCAACACAAGATCTGTTAAAAAGGTGGTAAAGATCGGGCCATTTCTTCTGGTATCTCCGCTACTAAGGGTCAACGTTTTGAATAACCAAAACGAATTTAAGCATTCGGTGCTCTTCATATTTCACACATCCCATTATTTCAACTAACGCAAGATCTGCTGTGAACATGGTAGAGATCGAACCATTCATTCTGGTACCTCCCCCACCAAGGGTAAAAATTTTGTATATCCATGAAGCTCAAAAAACGCGAAATTAACTTCCGATTCCATTCCGACTTGGCTCATCTGAAAGAAATATTTCAACACAAGATCTGTTGTAAAGGTGGTAAAGATCGGGCCATTTCCTCTGGTACCTAAGCTACTAAGGGTCAACGCTTTGAATAACCAAAACGAATTTAAGCATCCAGTTCTCTTTACATTTCACACATCTTATTATTTCTACTAACACAAGATCTGCTGTGAAGATGGAATATATCCGTTCACGTTTTCTGGCACCGCCCCAATCACGAAGCCATTCAGACTTGGCACATGTCAATATTTCCATCAACACAAGATCAGTTCTAAAGATAGTAGAGATTAGACCATTTCTTCTGATACCGACCCCACATAGGGTTCAAAATTTTGAAAAACGAAAATTTCGCACATACAAGAATGTTTCCTTACACGAGATCTGTTGTGAAAATTATATACATATATCTGGGAGACCCTTCTGGTACTTCAACCAGAAACCTGAGATGAATATGGAATTTATGATTTCGCATAAAATTGGATATAAATGTTATATTTTCTTGTAATTTTGGCCATACCAATATTTATACCCTACACCACAAGGTGGTCAGGGTATTATGTCTTTGTGCATTTGTTTGTAACAGGCAGAAGAAAACGAGATAGACCCATAGTTCCTTTTGATGATCTGCATAGAATCACATTCTGAGTCGATTTATGCATGTCCGTCCGTCCGTCTGTCCATGTATTTTTGTCTACAAAGTACAGGTCGCATTTAATACCCGATCCAGATGAAATTTTGCACAAATCATTTGTTTGACCCAAGGACGAACCCTATTGAAATTGGAGATAGTCGGTCAAAAATTAAGATATAGCTCCCATATATATCTTCGTCCGATTTGCCTTTTATTGTGCACCAAACGTGTAATATCATCCCAAATAATATGGAATTTTGCACATATAACCAAATTAGGCCTGAAAATGAGTATGCCAAATTTGATCGAAATCGGTTCAGATATAGATATAGCTCCCATATATATTGTTCATCCGATTTGTTATTTGTGTACTCCCCAGCCGTATATGCACTCCGTAACAACAATATTTGGAGAAATATATCAAACACAGCTCAGAAATATATTTGCCAAATTTTATCGAGATCGGTTCAGATTTGAATATTGCTCCCATATATAACTTCGTCCGATTTACCTTTTATTGTGCACCAAACGTCTAATATTTTTCCAAATGGGATGGAATTTGGCACTTACGACCGAAATGAGTCTTGAAGCTAGTATGTCAAATTTGGTGAAGATCGGTTCAGATATAGCTATATGCACTCCGTAACAACGATATTCAGGGAAATATATCAAACACAGCTCAGAAATATCTTTGCCAAATTTTATCGAGATCGGTTCAGATTTGGATATAGCTCCCATATATATC